ACTGCTTGATTATTGTAAGTGATTAGGGGTGTTCCTACCAGCACCCATTCCTACAATTTATAAGCATTTTTTTCTTGACGCACTAGGAAATAATAATAATAAATAAACATAAGTCAAAAACTAAAAATATAATAATTAAAGCATGCAAGCATTCATGAAAGATAGATCCAAGCGACAAATTCAGTTTCTTCAATCGCAAAAATAAGTCTAAAATCCTTTCCTCTAAACAAGTGTACATTGACAAAAACCTGAAAATTACATCTTTTTTCAGAAAACAACAAGAATTGTTCAACTTATTGAGGTCATGCACAAAATAATCCTATGCCAGTAGTGGAGTGGGTATAAAAAGGCACAGTGGTCATTATTTAATTAACATAAAAAACGTTTAAATTTGTTTGAAGCAAAAAGGTACAAAGCGTTTAAATTTTGAAATTCGACTTAATTACATCAATTTAAATTTATAAAAAAATAATTACACTTGACCGCATGCCAGACATTATGCTATATATATACTGCATACAAGTATATATAAATCCACATATGCCCACTAAAGCAACACTTTATCAAGTGCTTGTAATTAGCCATTAGATGTGATTGTGTGCGTGTGAAAATCAAAATGTTGTATCACCTTATTTGAATGGCTAATGAGACAATATTGCCGTTGGGTTTTGTAAACATTACCTGCCATTGGCTTCATTACCGGCAACCGAGAGTTGAAACGCTGCGGACGCCAATCGATAGCGTGTGTTTGCTTTCTGTTTTATGGCCATCAATCGTCTGTCGTTTAATTAATGAAATTAAACAAATTATTAAAGTTGCACTTAAATTGTACATGTTATGAAGACTTTTCTATTGTGTGCACTTGTATTGCTTTATTGTGTAATCTGTTGTTATTCCCTGCCTGTTAATTGGGAATCGAGTTGGGTCGATTGCCGCTTTGAGTTGTAAAAGTTTCAACGACTTACGTCTGGTAAAAGTTTTTTTTTTTACCGAAAACAATGAAGACTTAATTGGCTCGTGTTATTAACATTCATCCATTTACAAAACGAATAATTCAGTATACGGAATTGATGTAATGATGCACAGTATACTTGATAAGCTATTTATTGCTCATATGGCAGTAGTTATTTTATAAAAGCAATATTACTTGTACATATTCTTTCATTAATTGTAATAGCTAAAGATCCTGGTAGTCATAGCTATTCAAACCCTGTTAGCTGTAAGTTTTAACTTTAAGCTAGCATTAAATAAATAAATAAAAAAATTATAAAAGCAATATTTTTGTAACCCAGTTATCTTACCCACAACAATTTCAAATTCAATTAATTGGTGTCCGGCCTTTTGTGATCTAATTGAATATCTTCGTTTAGGAATTATTTCAGCTCAGACTATTTCAGTCGACTAGTATGTAAATTATTATTCCAGTGAATGCATATATTCTAATAAGGAACTCAATCGTTCCTAATCAATTGATAAATATTCATTTTGTTTTTGTTTCTTTTTATACATTATTGTTGCATTTTATTTGCAGATTAGTTCTACTTCATTTGTATTTTATTTTTATTATTTATTTATTAATTTTTATTTTTATTTCAATGCGACCATTCCGAGCGCTCACTCTATTCCGCTCTTCTATCTACACCAATATCCGACAGATTGGCAAACGATTATTTTAAAAGTCAGAGCTTTAAATTGCATTAAATTGAATTAAATGGATTATTTTAAGAAAACTGTGGATCTGAATGAAAGTGGAGAATGTTGTCACCCTTTATTGTATTTCTCTGTATTTATAAGTATCTTCCCTTTTGCGAGACAGTGTTGAAAAAATGTACGTCTAAACATGTCAACATTTTGTTATTTCTTATTATTTATGCATTTTCAGTTGAGGGTTTTTTCTAGCTGTCTTTAACTTTTTACAACACATTAGAGCATACTCATGCTCATCGCCCATCTTATCTTGCCCAACGATAAAAGGTTCCCCAAAAGCCCCAACGCACTATCAGAAGCCATTTACAAATATAAATTATGCGCCATTTGTCCTTCAAAATGTGGCGCGTTGATAATTTAAAATAACGAAAGAGCAAAAGAAAATGGGCCCATTTAGTAGGGCTATTTTTATTTATTTTGCTTTCAACAAAATTTGCCAAATTTACACTTCACTAGCGGCAGCAGCAGCAACAACAACAACAACGATAACCCGAAGTATGCAAAAAAAAACCATAACAAGAACAACAAATTGCCAGGCATAACAAAAGGCAAGTGTGATTCATTTTTGGTTCCGGTTTCGGCAGCCCAAGTTGTCTGATTGTGGCGCCCCCAACCTAAAGTCACACACACACACACACACACACACACACACACGCACACACATTTCCTCACACATAAATAAGGGCAACATTCAATGCAAATTGGACTATTTACGCAAATTTTATTGCCAAAGCATTTTTATATTTATTTTGTTTTTGTTGCATAAAGTTAGCTTTCTCTTGTTTGTTTAACACATGTGTATGTGTGTGTGTGTGTGTATGCAACATAGTTGTATGCCCGAAAGCATGCTTTATGTTTTCTTCTTGCTAATTTGGTTGTTGTTGTTGCTGCTGCCCCCAAGCGTCTAGTAAATCAGGCAATTTGCCGTCGAACCGCTTTAAAAGTTATTGTTGATGCTGTTGTTGCGTAACCCCTTTTGGGTTTCCGTTTTGCTCTGATCTCTGACTCCAGCCGCCCAGCCGCCCCCGCATCACGAATTATGCGATTTGGCGCCATTATTTTGTCACTAAACGACGCGCGCCTCACTTGGCAATGCGCACAACAAATATATTTGAACTTCGTCCTGGCTCAAAAATGTGTTTTTTATTGACATTTAGACACTGAGCCTGTTTCCGCGTCGTCAACGAGTTCGTTGGTCGGTCGGTTGCTTGGCTGGTTGGCTGGCTAGCTGGCTGGCTTTTTGGCCTGCCTTGTCATAAAGCCATGTTCTGTGTATATGTAAGTGTGTGTGTGCTCATGGATTTGTCAATAGATTCATTCTAGTGAATATTTATTGACATTGGTTTTTAAATCGCGACGCGTGTGTCAGGCCAAATGATTTTATGGCCCATGATGTGCAAAGAAATTGACATTGATTTTCGAATCTTGCGCATAACTGACCTCAGAGGTTAAAAAAATGGGAAACGAATAGATAAAAGTATGTAATTTAGAAAAAGAAGAAAGGAACATACGTATTTTTGTATATACGAGTAAAAACCATGTAGTAAATCTTACGTATAGTATATACATCTTGTATGTATATACAAGTATATTTCGTTGGCACGTGGAGTCGAAAATTAAAGTAGAACGAATGGCGTTTGTAAGGTATCAATTAATTTTCTTTGTTTCCCTAGAATATTGCAAAAATGATGTGTTATGTACTTTATTTTGAGCTCATAACAATTTTTTACAAACTCTTTAGAAATAAAAAGAAAGAGAAAAGTTGTTCATTTGACATTTAGGTAATATACTTGTATAAAACCATAAATAATTATATTTACAGATTCTCCAAACAAATTAGTTATTCTAAACAGAAATTTCGTAAGGTCACGGCATATTCGAAGATATATTGAAGAGTATTATATAATTGTGGAATGAAAACATTTTAATAATTTGAGAAGAAAAAAAATTATCACGATCAAGAAAGCATTTAAATATCGAGCCTAACATTTTAAAATACATTTACAAATATTGGTTATCTCTTTATTATTTGCTGTAAAAAAAAAAAAACTAAAAATTTCTTCGAAAAGATATAGAAGCTTTTTATATAATTGTGGAATGAATAAATTTTAATAATTTGAAAAGAAAAAAAAATTATCACGGTCAAGAAAGCATTTAAATATCGAGCCTAACATTTTAAAATACATGTACAAATATTGGTTATCTTTTTATTATTCGGCAGGGTATAAGTTTCTATGGAAATTCTGAAACTTAACTCATTCACATTCAAGTTCATGAAGCATCCATGCACATAATGGCAACTTGTTTAACTAATGCTAATAAGCCAAATAACACGCGCACGCACACTAGCACAGGAAAACACCAGAAATTAACAGAGTTATTAGCTCGTTATCTTTCACACTTAATATTTACACAGTCGGCAGCCAACGTTGGTGCTCACAACTCAGCTGCCAGCCCAACAGTAAAGTCAACAGCAAAAAAGAGGGACAAAAAATGAGAGCAAGTCCTGAACGGCTGACTGGGAGGGAGGTTGGAAGGCAGGGTAGGGCGGCTGTTGCTTAAAATTCAAACAATGTGTTGATGCCTTCACACCAAAACATGCATAATTAATATGCAAAAGCAAGAACAACAACAGCTACTTGCCACACGCGCCTAACGCACACGCACACACACACATGCTTACTTACACTCAAAACAGAGGCAAATTGAAAGGGTTAGCATACTTTTTAGGGCAACAACACGTTAGAGACATTTTGCAGCTTCATTATCACAGCTTCCGCGTCAACATCATTTCCGCCAATGGAAGGAATATATATATACACACATATATGTTCATATATACAGTTGCCTTTTTCAACGTTAGCATTGTTGTTGTTGTTGTTGTTTCTGTCGCTGCTGTTATGCATAATTCATATGTGAACAGCAACAATAGGTGGCAAGTAACGAAGCAAAAGTACAAAACCTCAGACTCACACAAAAAACTTTCAGCGTGAATGACAGTGAAAATGCTTTAATTGAAGCCCACAAACACACAAACACACACACACACACTTACCCTTGCAATAAACATTTGCATATTTCAATGCATGCAATTAAGCAAGTGTGGAGTTGGGTTAGTGAGTGGGGGCTGTGTGGGGAGACGCCACACAGGCAGCTGTCATGACGTGACAAAAAGTTGAGCACAATTTTTATGGGAACTTTTTTTCCACCAATTTGTTTGTTTGTTTTCCCCCATAACTTTAAAGTAGCGACGGTCTCTCATGCGTTTCGTCTCCATTTTTCTACACTTGCAGCAAAATCACGCCATTTTCCGGTGAATGGTCTGAGCGGCAATAACACGCTTCAGCAGCAGCAGCAGCAATATAACCTACAGCAGCAGCAGCAGCAGCAGCAACAACAACCAACCACTGACACGCGCAACATATACAACAATCCCTATACACCGCCACAGGCATTACAGCAACAGCAACAGCAGCAGCAACAGCAGCAACAACAACAGCAACAGACACAACAACGCGCTGCACACCTTTATAAAGCATTGGCTGCCTCTGCCGCAGTAAGCAACAGTTTAACTCATCCATACGATTTTTCCACATCGTCATCATCGTCTAACGCCAATAACGAGCAACAGGGTTCATCGTCATCAGAAGCTGAGAATGCGTTTCTAACTCATAATAACGGTGAGTGAATAATATTTTTATGAAAAAGCAATGCAAATGCAAAAAAATATCAAAATTAAATAAAGAAATATTTCTGTGCTCGTCCAAAACTATTCTCCCGAAAAATACTTTAATTAACGATTGTAAACAAGTAAAAAAGCTAAAGTCGGGTGTCCCGACTTTGAAATACTCTGTACATATGCTTAGAATAAATATAGAAATTAAAAAAAATTAAGAAAATAAACAAAAAAAATTTGATCGATTTTACCTCTCTCGGTATTCGAACTCACGTAAAGGGTGTATAATTGAACATTTACATAGCAATTGCGTCTGTGTGAGTGTATGTATGCCTATGCGCATCTATTCGTGTCTGTATAAGCATTTTCGCAGTCAACCAAACAGCAACATCAACAACAGCCGCGGGCAGCGCTTGAGCAGCGCTGCAGCAGCGCTGCATCAGCAAATATATTTATGGCTATAACTTCTTGTTAAATCGGTCTATCATAATGGAATTTGGCATACGGACACATAATAACCAACTGGGGGTATTTGCAAAATTTTAGTTTGAAATTCCAAGAATTACGGGAGTTACGATTTGCATGGTAGAGGGGGGAGGGAGGGGAATTCCAAAATATACATTTTCTGCGTATTCACATAAGGCATCTGGGACTAAAATTTGGTGTTCCTATGTCTTATAGTCTCCGAGATATAGGCGATTATACGAATGGAAAATCGGGAAAACCCCCATAGGGGGGAAGTGGGGGGGAAAATCAAAAAAATAAAACAAACTCGTATAGAATATACACATAACGCATCTTTGTGCAAAATTTGGTGTCTCTATCTCTTATAGTCTCTGAGATCCAGGTGTTCATACGGACGGACAGACGGACAGACTGACAGACGGACAGACGGACAGGCAGACAGACAGGGCTAGATCGACTCGTCTCGTCATGCTGATCAAGAATATATATACTTTGTGGGGTCTGCCACGCCTCCTTCTGCCTGTTACATTTTTCAGCTCCCGCAAACCTAATATACTTCTGTACATTTCATGTACAGAGTATAAAAATGGGTAACAATTTACAGATCTTAAAACGTTTTTATCTAAAATTCGATAAATGCAAATCGGACAATTATATCCTTTATTTCTTCATCAATCTTAATTGCAAAAGAGTTGCGGCTCTGAGTGAATAATTCATCACCTGGTCTTTGAACCGGTATAGATCTAAGACTACAACCACACTTGATTTTCAAGTAGATATTCCTACCAAGAATATATTTATGCCACATATAAAGATAAATTCTTGTCGGTTGAGGCCAACGCTAACAAGATCAGTCATTTAATAATGAATAATTGCTTTTTACATTTTGAAAGAGTTTATAATTTAACTTCCTTTGATAAAACTGAAGTGTTGGGTCCTTCGGAGGCGACAACTCAGTCCTTCAGTGCTAGCTTCGCTTGATAATTGGATATCGTATTATCAGCGACTGCAGAGCCAACTCCTAGAAGTGCAAACAGTACGAGACCAAATTTAGTGTTCATTGTTAGCAGCGCAGCGGTTTCTGTGAAACTAAATGAATATTTCTCGCGTTGCCTTAATGATACTTTCAATTACGAAAGAAATTTGCATCACTTCGTACCAATCGCGAACCATAAACCATAACAACCCGGTAAATAAAACCTATTACCTGTTTTAAATTATAAGGTATGCCCGACTATAAATCGACTACGAGATTTGTAACTTACAACTAATTTTATATGAAAACGTCAACTTTTTAAAACTGGCTCCCAATTCATTATTCATTTTTATACTCTGTACATAAAATGTACAAGAGTATATTACGTTTGCGGGAGCTGAAAATGTAACAGGCAGAAGGAGGCGTGGCAGACCCCACAAAGTATATATATTCTTGAGCAGCATGACGAGACGAATCGATCTAGCCCTGCCTGTCTGTCCGTCTTTAAAACCTCCATTTAGTTATTATAAGTCCAAATGCCAAGTTTCATCATGAAAGGCCGATTTAACAGGAAGTTATAGCCATATATGTACATAAGACCAAGTAGTGCCCGCAGCTGTTGTTGTTGTTACTACTTTGATCCGGCACACGAGACATACACAGGCACACACAAATACACACATACACGCATAATCATTCCTCACATACTTATGGACAGAGTATTTCAAAGTCGGGATATCCGACTTTAGCTTCTCTACTTGTTTTAATTAAAGTATGCCCCACTATAAATCGACTACGAGATTTGTAACTTACAACTAATTTTATATGAAAACGTCAACTTTTTAAAACTGGCTCCCAATTCATTATTCTTTTTTTTTTCATGTCGCTTTAAAACTTATGAAATATTTTATCCTACCAAGAAGGCTAGTCTAGTGTATCAATAAATTTCGCTCACTTAAGAGCTTAGAGCTTGCGTACATTTCTGACAAAGCCGCGACTATGATTATACGTTTATAAAAGGATAGTTTCTATTCTACTAAAGATGTTCTCTTTAGTTTTAATTAAAACAAGTAAAAAAGCTAAAGTCGGGTGTCCCGACTTTGAAATACTCTGTACATATGTTTACAATAATTATAGAAAATAAAAAAATTAAGAAAATAAAAAAAAATTTGATCGATTTTACCTCTCTCGGTATTCGAACTCACGTAAAGGGTTTATAATTGCACATTTACATAGCAATTGCGCCTGTGTGAGTGTATGTATGCCTATGCGCATCTATTCGTGTCTGTGTAAGCATTTTCGCAGTCAACCAAACAGCAACATCAACAACAGCCCGGGGCAGCGCTTGAGCAGCGCTGCAGCAGCAAATATATTTATGGCTATAACTTCTTGTTAAATCGGTCTATCATAGTGAAACTTGGCATACGGACACATAATAACTAACTGGGGATATTTCCAAAATTTTAGTTCGAAATTCCAAGAATTACGGGAGTTACGATTTGCGGGGTAGAGGGGGGAGGGAGGGGAATTCCAAAATATACATTTTCTGCGTATTCACGTAAGGCATCTGGGACTAAAATTTGGTGTTCCTAGGTCTTATAGTCTCCGAGATATAGGCGATTATACGAATGGAAAATCGGGAAAACCCCCATAGGGGGGAAGTGGGGGGGAAAATCAAAAAAATAAAACAAACTCGTATAGAATATACACATAACGCATCTTTGTGCAAAATTTGGTGTCTCTATCTCTTATAGTCTCTGAGATCCAGGTGTTCATACGGACGGACAGACGGACAGACGGACAGACTGACAGACGGACAGACGGACAGACAGACAGACAGGGCTAGATCGACTCGTCTCGTCATGCTGATCAAGAATATATATACTTTGTGGGGTCTGCCACGCCTCCTTCTGCCTGTTACATTTTTCAGCTCCCGCAAACCTAATATACTTCTGTACATTTCATGTACAGAGTATAAAAACATCTAAATGTGCAGCCTTTACGCCAGACTTAAATTTATTTAAATAAAATTATATTGTGTCGCTTTCTCTATTTGGATAATTATTCCTTTAGATGTAATTTATCTGCCCATATGACATGAACGCTGCCACACTCCACGAAACTGATCCCCAAGAGAGCAGTCAATGCTAGGACGATATTGAACATCATTGTTACAAGTTTCGTTCTTTGGTTAAGACTAACAAAATGAGAATTCTGATTAATTATTGAACCTCAAAATTACGCAAGAAATATGTGCCACTTCGTACCAGTCTCGATCCAAATATTTATATCATTTCTATAACGAACGGACTGTGATGAATCAAAATTATTCAGAGGCTTAATGAAACTGTAAGTTACGCAAGATATTTGTGCCAACTGCGTGCTAAATATGTAACCGAGATAATTTTATTACATATATTTTCCTCTTTCATATAGTAAGTCTATCATTTGACATTCTATCCATAAATAGAAAAACAAGAGAGAACGCTACAGTCGAGCAAGCCCGACAGTGAAATACCCTGTACCCAGGTAAACTTCCGTCACTGAGTTATATGCGCCCATAGCAGCAGCAAAAAGAGGAAGAAGAAGAGCGAACTTGTTGCTGCAGTTTGGGGGGGTTGTACTGGCGAGAATTTGTTTCGCTAATAACTTTTCTTAGAATTGACCAAATAATAATAATAAAATTTTGAAGAACAGTAGAAAATTATATATAAATTATGTGTGCAAAGTTTGGTTTAGGTAGCATTCGAAATGTGGACGCTATTGACGAAATTCTGTAGCGTGGGAAGGGGGGGGGGGGGGGGGGGGGGGGGGGGGGGAATTCCAAAAAATAAAATAAACGTCCTTTCTCGGACCTAGGAGAATCTGGATGCCAACTTTGGTTATTCTAGCTTTTATAGTTTCTGAGATCCTCGCGTTCATCCAGACGGACGGACAGTCGGACAGACCGACGGACATGTCTAGATCGATTTCTCTCGTCATGCTGATTCAGAATATATATACTTTATGGGGTCGGAGGTGCTTCCTTCTGCATGTTACATACTTTGCACAAACCTAATATACCCTTTTTACCCTACGGGTACAGGGTATAACAAGACGTACAATTGCAATGCCGGATTTGAGTTTCTTTAAATGTTCGCGTTCTTCAATGTTGAATTATTACTAGAGAACTGAAATAAGGAGCTTTCTATTTAGCACGCCATAATAATAAGATATATTTTCTATATAAGTTATCTATAGTACATATACATATATGTATATTTATATTGTATATACAGTGTTTTCCAAAGTAAACAGGACTTAAAAAAAAAAAAGAGAACAAATGGTTTTTTGGCAAAATCAATTCATTTTAATGGTTAATGGTTAAAATGTGATTTTTGGTCAAATCATCGGTCACAATCGTCGATCGATGAGAGCAATTTTTGGTCGTCAGTCAATTTGCACGGAACAAACCGTGCACACTCCTTTCGTAAAATATTCGGTCAAAATGCGATAAATCGGTGTTTTGGAGATATTCAACTCCATTTCCACCAATTTCAATGATGATTTCGGTTGATTTTTGATGAATTCA